AAGAGAGTTAGTTTAGAAAAAAATTGATAAACATATAAAATAAGTCTTATATATAAAATCAATATTAACTCTTCAATTAGATCCTACATTAAAAACTAGAGAAATAACAATAACTAAACTAATTTTTTTAAATTAAGCAACTAGATCTTAATAAGTACTGAAAGAGGTACCAGTTGACACGAATTTTTCAGTTAACATTATGATCAACTTGGCCACCTTTAGTTTGTCCGAAAAATAGTATTTACACACACACACACACACATATATGTATATAGGCATATATATCGCACAACGTAATATCCAACACGGTCCGCAAAAATTAATGGGGAAAAACACTATTGACATCTCTTTCATTTAACACAAAACATAACACAAGTTCTACAGTATTGAAATTAAAGCTAAACTTGTCTTCAACATCAACTTGAGGCACACGAATATTAGAACTAGGACTGAACTTGATTTTTTTTTTTTAAAAAAAGGTGTTTGGCATTTGAGAAAGTGAGACAAACTCCTTTACATATTTACTTTGTATGTCATAAAATCACTTTTGAAACTATGGTTTAGATTTCATCCAAACACTCCCTGAAAAAATATATATTTACTGTGAAGTTTTTAATTAAGACATGAATTGTAAAGAAATAATCTCATGTCATTCTTATTAGAGAACTCGATTATTAGTAATCACTTGAAACTATACCTAAATTGAGGGGAGCAAAAAAGAACATCATATCATGCTGTGAGATTGTCAGAATGGTCTAGGAGGCTTCTCTAAGACAGCAGAAAAGAACGCTTCTTGATCACCTTTATCAATCTTTGGAACAACCACCCACTTGCGTCTCTTGTACCTCAGCATCTTGAAAGCTTCCAAGTAATCATCCAAATCCTCCTTCAAACAGAAGAAGCTGTCAATCCACAACAACCCACCAGGCCTCAGAACTCTATCCCAATCATACAGCACAAAATCCAGCAGCACAAAATCAATCCACCCGTCCAGAAACCTCGTCGTGTGGATCAAATCGAGGGTGTTATCAAAGAATGGAAGCCGCTGATTTATGGTTAAGTATAGAGGAACAAGTCCTCTGAGAGCTATCATTTCATTGAAGGGTGCTCCTAGGTTGATAGTTGCAGAAACTATAGTCACATTATATTCTTTCATTCTAGCAGCAAAAGTACCAGTTCCAACACTGAAGTCCAATCCTATTCTGATCTCTCCAGGCTTGATTTGAAGCACATCAGATATGAGGAAATCAGAAGTCTGATTTTCAGAACTGGGATCCAATGTTACCCATCTGGGCATTTCATGATGAGTGAGGTTGAAGCAATCTGAGCACTTGAAGAATCCCTTACGAGTGGTGTTCCCAGCGAGGCAAGTGAAGTTCTTGCACCGGTATTGACTCCACCGGACATTTCTGTCATCTGGAAGTTTCCAGATGGACTCGTTGATTGGCAATGGCTGCATATATAGCCGAGGTGCTCTTGCAAGGCATCTTCTTCTTGGGAGAGGATCACAGCCATGTACCATGAGCTTCTGAGCCAGTTTCCAGTCATCATTGCACATTTCACCAATGTCATAATCCATGTATTCCTCAAGCTCTTCCCTCATGGCAAAGCAAGCATGGCCAATACTAGTGAAGGTTCCATTAGCCCCCATGAAATTCTGTTTTCCCAACCTATTAGGCTTGATCTTCACATACTTGCGAATCTCCTCCCGGAAGAAGTAATCAGCCGGCTCATCAGGCTGTTTCTTTTCTTTCAAAAGTGGAAGAGAAGTTGTGGCACTGGTTTTATGCTGACCAATCCCTTTATAATCTGAAAGAGATGCTTCCATGGATTCCAGGAGTCCTAAAATGTCAGCAAGAAAGACACTCATTTCCATCACAGAAGCTGTATCTGACTCTGCATCTCTCAAGTTCTGCAACTCTTGTTGAATTTTCTGAATTACATTTTGAGCCGTTATAATCACACTATTTCGAATTTCCTTTGGCTCCTCAGGATTCAAGTGGTTGCATAGAGATTCAGTGTCAAGAAAGGATTTAGAGATAAAGAATTTAGACAAGGTAGCAACAGAGAGAAGAGCAAGAGCACCCAATACAAAGATTGTGCAGTAAGCCCTTCTCCATATTGCAAATTTAGGAGTACCATTCAGTTTTGGCATTTCTGTATTTTCTGAACTGAGGATATTGAGTGCTTTCATATATCCTCAAACCAAAAACATCAGGACAAAAAGAGAAAGGGGGGCAAAAAAAAAAACCCACACAAACATAATCTGTTTCAGACTAAGAAATAACCTGACATTTGCAGCTCAAGGGAAACATGTTCATAGAGCCACAGCATGAGAACTGAAACAGTGATAAGAACTGGAAAGCTAATCATGGAGATATGGGGTAATCGTTTATTTGGAAAGAAAATTGGTGATCAAAAATATGAATAGGTGGATCTAGAAGATCTCTTGACATAATATGGAGTTGGAAATTGACCTAACGGATTATTCAAGCATTCTATAGCGCTAGCTTAGCAAATACTTAAAGTCAATCACAAAAAGAGAGCAAGTCAACGCGTGGATCTTAAATTCAGGTATTCACAACTTGCTAAAAGATAAACGGTTTATTATTACAGATCTAAAGGAGAGCTAATAGCAGAAAACACGATAAAGCAACCATAGAATTCACTATTTGGTCAAGTAACTTAATTTTCTAGCATCAGCATATAATATTTGGTCAACAAGGCTTTTCACATGTTTAAGTCTTCCATTCACTTGTGACACTGCTCTAACTCCAAGATTGAACCACATGCATCATACAGACAAACTTGTCAGCAAAATCGTGTAGTTGCTTCAAAAATGAAACTGCCTCATATTAAACAAAAGTAACGTTTCAAGTTCACATGGTCAGTTTTTTTAGGGGAAAAAAAAATTTCTTGACCTGGCTCCATGTTATCAGGCTATCAGTTTCAATTTCATTGACCTGCTTGAAGACTTTGAATACATTTAACAGTTCTATTATAAAAATAATGAGAAAAATTAGAAAAGAAAATCTATCAATATCTATCTACGTATCAACAAGAATTTTGGCAAGCCATATTGTTCACAAGTGATAATAAAAAAGAACAGATAGCTTGCTCTAGGACTCCGTGCAGGGACTAGAAGCCAATGTGTATATAATAATTACATGGACAAAACGGACTTCAAAATAAAAGGAAAAAGAGCATAGAATCTCTAAACCTCTAAAATACAAAAGGGTCCTAGTGACAAGCATTATGGGAGACAGGAACAGAAGCCATTGTCCCAATACAAGGGACCAAATCCTAGCTGTCTACAATGAGGACAACTAAGTGGAGCCATGAATGTTAAAAAAAGGCAAGCAAAAGCAAAAATCTCTTTTTCCCTGAGTAGAGGGGAAAGTGCAAAGAATGAAGTTGAAGATGAATACTAAATTACAAATCAACAACGATGTTCAACTAGAAGTCAAATTGATGCAGACTTTGGTAGGTAACCAGTCAACGAAGGAAGAAAACAAAAAGGTAACCAACGGGAAATCAACATCAACAACCTTAATGCAGAGATAGCAATCCACCATAAGGATTATAGAGAATGATGCCTTGTCAAACATTCATTTCTGGGCAGCGACACAAAATTTTATACAGAGAGAATTGAGGAACAAACCCATTGAGGCTAATTCATGTGAAACACAAACTCAAACAGCTAGGATAAAGCATCAGTTAATTTCTCATTTCAATATTTTAATCCAACAAAATGATACTTTAACTGTGAGTACCACTACTTCTACGCCTTCACTCTCTTCTTCTATTTTCTTCTCTTCCGAATGAAGAAAAGAAAATACCAATTTAAAAAAAAAAAAAAGGCAAAAACTTGATCATCTTCAATAACCCAGAAGATTTACATTCTTGAGAAGCGAACCCAGAAGAGTCCAAGAAGGAAAATGGTCACCTCCGTCGCCTCCGGTCAGCCGGGTACTGAGAGAGCGGCACCACTTCTTGCAGAGGCGTCGAAATCGGCGTCATGAGCGGCGAGTTCCGACAAACAGGGCACGACCCATTTAGTTTAAGCCAAGCGTCAAGGCACAAGAGGTGGAAATAATGGCGACACTCCGGCATCATCCTCAGCATCTCCGAATCCCTATACTCACACAAACAGATCGAACACATCGTACTGCTTCCAACACCCATAGCACCCCTACTGTACTGGAACCTGGGGTACGAGTTTATAACGTTCTCGTCGAGCCCCACGACGGAGCTCTCGTTATCATCCTCCTCCTCCGCCACAAAAATCACCCGAGGCAGAACAATACCCTCGGATTCCACATTCGCCCCAGATGGGTTCATATTCGGATTCGGGTTCGAATGCGAAGTGGGGTTGGGGTTGCGGTTGCGGCAACAGAGGTAGAAAGAGAGAATGAGCGTAGAGGCAAGAACGAGGAAGGCGAGGGCGATGGCAATGGAATAGCCGAAGCCAATGTTGATGAAGAGGGACATGGGGGCAAAAGGGAAGCAAAAGACAAATAAGAAGAAGAACCAGAAGAACCAAGTGAGATTTTGAAAGTGTCCATTTGACGGAGAAGGTGAAGAAGAAGTAAGAGGAGAGGGAGAAGGGGAATGAGGAGGAAATTGGGGAGAGATTTTGGAGGGCAAAGGGTGGGTGGGAATCTCAGCTGCTGCATTAAATTCTGGGGGTTTTTTTGTTATTGAATTTGGAGGGATTGGAATATTACTGTCTCTCCCTCCCCCCCCCCCTCTCGAGCGCATTTAATTCAAAAGGAGAGAGAAGAGAGCGAAAGAAAAAAGAGAAGAAGAAGAACAGTAGTGCCAGAAAGTTGGGCTGCTTTGGCCATGCCTCGCTCTGCCTTGCTTGCACCAACGATGCTTCTTGGGGATGTGCGAGACGAGAACTTTCAAGTTTGAAGTTTGAGGTTTGAAGTACTCGAGGCAATCACACACTCTCTTCCCCCGTGGAATCAACGAACTGCTATCCGCCTCTGGCTTTGTGACTTTTTGTTTAGGTGAAGAAATTTTAGGCAAAATCATTAATATAATTTTCTCACTTTCCCCTCTAATAAATATATGAGAAAAATAAAAGATAATAAAAATATAATATTAAAGACAATTTTATTATTTTTATAAGTAAAATAGGAAAATTCTACCGTCTTAGAACAAATTTAATGACTATCTTAATTGTTTAAGAACAATCTGCCTTATTAAAATATTAATGATGGAATTTGAATCCATATCTATGAACTTGATCTTCATAGTAGCACCAAGAACAGAATGTTCTTATGCACTCACAATCCTTCAAACTTGCTGTGCCAAAAGAGAGAAATTAATTTGCCCTAATATCTCTTCCCTCACTGGGGTAAAAAAGTCATTCCCGTTTGAGAGGTGAATTTTCTTTTGATCACCTGAAAAACCCTAAAAGAAATAAAGGTAGGCAGAATCAACAAGGTTGCGATACTTTTGAGGGAGCTTGAAACGTTAAAGTTGATAAATATTGGCTGAAAATAAGACAAATGTGATGAGAGTGAGTCTCGAAACGTGAGATAACAATCTGCCTTTCCATGAGGAAATTCGATGCCTCACAATAATGATGAGGCCTTGATACAGGAGACACTTATTTCTTCTCTTATCCGCCCAAGCGTCCAAGTATTTCGGCAAGAGAGTTCCTTTTTTTCCCCCTTGGTGGTACAAATTTTAGGACCATAACTTAAACTGGGATGGGAGAAGCTCCACATGAGTCATCACATGTTACGAGTTGAGATCTTGGCTTTGAATATGCCTTTCTAAATACTGCGACGATCTCAGAAATCAAATCATTTCATTTGGTGAGAGTGTCTGACTCTTTGACCACTAAACCCACAGTACGATGGGTGACAGAGAATTTCTTTTGGAAGAAGAAACATGGACATTTTATGTTTTAAATCAAGAAACTTTTCTGAATGACACCTTATAATAATAAGCAGGGATGATAAAACCTGACAGAATGATTTGCGAGAATAATTGTGAAAGATTGAACGATGTTTTAGAGAATGAATGTTCTGATTATAATTTTTAATTTACAATGTGAGATGCTAGAAATGAAGTAGTTCACAAGGGAACTTAGAAAATCAGTGAAATGGCTTAATTAGGAACCAAGGGCGACAACTTGGAGATTAATAAAGGGTGGTAGCTTTTACAGTTTTGCGGAATTTATCATTAGAGGACACTAATCAAGATGATAATCAACGTGGTAACATGAATGTTTGAACCAAAAATGTTAAATAAATAGATACATAAATCATAAACAATGCAATTGGTTTAGATAAGATTTTCTTAAGCATGAAATTGTGAGTTCAAATCCTATATAGAGGTCATAATAAGTTCATGGATTATGGATTGTGGGGAAAAAAAGGTATACGCGTAAAATTTCATATAATTAAGATATGTTTTTAGAGGTTCAATAATTTTTGTAACATATTTAATTAATGAAACTTAAAGCGTTCCATGGATGCATATTTGTGGCCAAATTTGCCTCAAGACTGATTAAGGGGAGACTGATAAAAAATTAGAAGCAGAAGCCATGTCATTATCCTAGGAGGGTAGACTTAATTACATGCCCATATTTAAAGTTTGTGCTTTAGCTCTTTCGGTGGTTTATCCAATGTCCCTTTTCTTAATGCCTAAATGGTTAATATCATGAGCTGGAAATTCTAATGGCTACTTTCTTTTGGGCCTTTAATGGTAATTTGGGAAAAAAAAATTAGAATGTTGCATCTTTTGAGATGATGGGATGATTTGTGCTTGGCTAAATCTCAAGAAGGCATATGAAGGTTGGAATTTTTTTCATAGACAGGACAAGCTCTCCTTATGGCTACTACACACGCTTGGAGGCTAATTTTGGTAACGAGGATTAAATTTTAGGTAAAGTAGAATCTAACACTCTTATCTTATTTTTCAAGTGTATCCAATACCTTGATGTTATTTTTTATGCATCTTATACCCTAATCTTATTTATAGCACATCTAACAACCTACATCATAAACAAGTAGGGTTTTGACTACACCAGAAAATAACATCATGGTGTTAAATGGACTAGAAAAATAATATTGTGCTACTGAATGCACTTGAAGAATAATATCAGAGTGTTGGATGTTACTTTACTCATAAATATTTGTGTCAATTCTTAGAGGTCAAGTTTTATGTTTTTTCCCATCTTAAATGTAGGAGTTGGGTAAACTAATTTACATAATGCATGTTGGTTTTCCTAACATAATCATATATAAAAACTATCCCAATTAGTTACGTCTATCTATGTGGACAATCAATAGAGATACTTCAACAAAAATAATAAATATTTTTTTGCATGATCTATTCTATCAGTTCTAAAGAAATTATCCAAATTCATTCATGATGCGGTCTGCAATATCCTACATTCATTAAGAATTGTTTTATGGCCTTGAGATATAGTAGTATTAATTATGAGTGATTAACTACTATTGGAAATATGGCGCATCTTGATGGTTAGAGGTTAGAATAGTTCTGCTATGAGGTTAATCTACAAGGCTAGCTTGGGGATTTAATAGGTTAAGATTGGGTCCAAAGAGGAAAAGTATGGGGTGATACGATTCGTAAACGTAATCATTTTATGTTTTTTTTTTTTTTAATTTTAGTTTGTCAAGTAGGTTTTTTAACAAAAGTTTATCCACACACAAAATTCATTAAACTGCAAAAGTCATTTAGAATAAAAGTAACTTTTGCCAATGCTAATCCAAATAAACTCTTATCATTTAAAACTTTAGATGAGATGGAATTGATTTTTGAAATCTCACCTTATATAAATTTAATTTGAGTTATCATAATTTACCCAAGGTTCTTACTTCTAAAATACGTTTCTTTCGGAGTAATTGGTGAAATTGCTCTAGACTCATTGATTTGGTATTTGATCCTTAGTTGGTTTTTTTTTTTTTTTACTACTCATACATATCCTTCTATTGAAAACAATCATATTCAAGATACTATCGGGTAACTCTTTTAGTGGGGATTCGAACTTTAATTTATCACATTATGAAGGACTAGTCCTTTCTACTGGACTCAACTCTTATCGGTTTCTTAATTGGTACTTGATCCTTAGTTGACTTTTCTATGGTATTTCCCATTTTTGGGCGGTGGCTCTCTAAAAGTTTTTCTTTTGGTTCTCTTATTTCTTTTATTTCACATAATTTTATTGTTATGCATAAGTATTCTCTTATTGAAGGTCTGAGACACTGTCATACACTAAGTGTGGGCACTTTTCTCAATAGAAATTTGAATATTAGTTTGTCATATTATAAGAAACTAGCTCACTCCAATAAACCCAACTCTCATTGGTTTCTTTATATAATTTAGATACATATACAAACACAAATCTGTCAATGCTGGGCTTAAACCTAAGACCTCATCCAAATATAACAGGTAACTTAACATCAGCGTTTTTGGAGTGTTGAGGTAATTGGGTTTTTACCCACAATTTCTCTTAGGGGATATTTGGGTAAGAACAAAACTATAATTTCAAAAGTGCTTTTAAGGTATATGAAGTAAATATATTTCTAAAAAGTGATTATGGGGTTATCCAAACACCACTTCTTTGCATGATGATCATGATTTGAAATGGTTTGTTATGATAATGAGAATTGGAATCCAAAATATCAATTTGGAACTTGATACTAAGTCTCAAATAGAATTGTGGAACACCGAATGATGTATACTACAGTTTTGCTAGACTATATATATGGCTCTTTAGTCTTTGGTGCCATATGGTATTACATTAAATTATAGTCACAATGACTATAAAATTTGCAAGGCAAATCCTCAATTCTAATTATAGAAAGAAAATGGCCTACTAGGTCGTTTCACTAAAGCATGGGTGAATCATGGAAGATGGAGCTATGAGTCTGAGATTATGGTTTGGTACGTTATAAATTTAGTGGCGCGTAGCTCTTGTTTCTTCTCTTTTTAAGTAAAGAGAAAATAGAAAAGGCTTATTAAATAAAAAGAATAATTAATAATTGGAATGTTGGATCATACCTCATCCACCTTTGGCGGATCAGCCAGGCCCATAAAATTTGGGGTCTGATTATAATTAAATAAAAGCTTAGGGTAATGTTATAAATTACCCCTTTTATGTCTTTACGACAAATTCTCTTCTTTTCTCGGTGCATTTGCTGTATAAGCAAAATTCCGACTCCCCTGTGATCGAATTGTACGAGGGCATATAAGGTTACTAATGCTTTCAGGTACGCTCCAAAAACTCCCATGGAATAATCTCCTTCGAAATTTTGCATTTCCTTTTTTTTTCTCACAAGAAGATATTTTTCCTTTTATATATATATATATATATATATATCTATTCTCATCGGAGAATGTATGAGGGATAATAACCTGAAACTTTCTTGGAAATAAAGTGCTCTACTTAAAATAATGGTGTGAAAAAACTGTGGAGGAAGTTGGGGGAGATTTTTTTTTTTTTTTTTTAAGTTGTGCAGAATTTGAAAGAAAATGCACTATTCATAACCCATGGATAGTACAAACATCTTATAATTTTTATATTTTATATTAATATTGATATTGATTTAACTTTATACAAAGAAATATTTATCATATTTGGGCATGATGAGTTGGAGAAGCTTGGGCTAATTTCCTAAGGTTTTCAATGATCATAACCAGTTTTGTGTTGAGTCGATTCACAAAGCACTTGGGCAGCCATCCTGCTGGATCCAACTGAAACAACACAAACCAAATTTGGAAAAAACAATTAGTGAAAAATGAAGTTGATCCAAATGTTGATCCAATTTTTCAACAAAAAAAAAAATCTAATTTTAAAAAATATTTTCCATATTATTTATTAATATTTTTTTTTTCAACACATAGCTATTTTCCTATTAAATATAATCCTGTTTGAGGTAATATAAGGCAATATTTGTGGATACTTTTTATAACAAGAATTTGAACTATGATTCATCACGCGTATATAATTGGGAACAAGTAGTTTTGGCAATGGGTCAACCTGGTCCATGATCCACCATATTCGGTTCGGTCCCCCCCCCCCCCAAAAAAACAAAAAAGAAATCCAACCTTCTTTTTGTGGTTAACTGAACCAGTCTACCAATGCTAACACATTTTAATACAAAAAAAATCCATGTGTAAGTTACTATAATATTACCTGATTTTTAATAACATCTCTATAGTTTTTTTTTTTTTACCTATTTACCAGATTCTTATCATTTCACTTCTGTTTAATTAAATCCCTATAATTTTTTTTAATCAATCCTTATATTTTCACTTAACGTTAATGAGGTTCTTAAAATTTTTTTAGTGACGATTTGATTAAAAGTAAGGTAAAACTATAAGGATTTAGAGAATAATTTTTCCTTCATAACATTAATAGAAAAAGAAATAGCTATGAAATTGAGATACCTGAACAACATAAGTGACAACACAAGAATCATCTTCAAGCTTCTCCACAACCCATCCTGACTGCAATAGTAATCCTCTAATTGCATTGCTTTGCTTTGGATGCAGCCCTGCTGCTATCTCCTTTGGTAGTGATGCCACTGCCACTACCTATAATAGTTCATTCCCATTTCAATTCATCTTCTTCTTTTTTTGAAAAAAAGATTGCACTAATAATGGCATCAAGAAAATATTATCTTAATTTTATGTATTGGTTCAATCATAATAAAATTATGTTTAAAATTGATCCTAACTAATTAATTTTATTATGTTCCTAACTAATTAATTTTATTATTTCATTCTAATTTTAACACATTGTAATTTGAGTCATATCAAGGTACCCCTCTGGTCCTTAATATAGGATCTAATTGTTGAGTTGGTTTTAATCCTAAATATAAGACCCATTTATCATTTATCAATTTTCTCTAAATTATCCCCATGGATATTCCCTCAACCATAATCAAGTAGAAGAGAGAGGAGGGGTATTAAGAAAGATGATTATGGTATTTTAGGAAAAACGTGTCACATTCATTATAATTAACTAACTTACCTAATTTCCTTAATCTAATCAAATTAGTTAAATGAGTCTTATATTAAGGACCGGAGGAGTATTTCAAGTTATAACAATGAGATGAGGTGTGGATAGAAGTTAAGAAGTAACTGAAAGTTGTATATACGTGATCATCCCAGGGTATTTTCGTCCTTCCAAAGAACACTAAAAGAGACTTTAACAAGTCTTTATCATTTTAGCATTTGCGAATCCTAGGACCAAGGGTTTATATATTTTCATTTGCGCACAAAATTTCTTCTTGCTTTTAGCTTGGGGGTCCTCTCTACTCCAATGTTATCCCCACAACAAATTCTCATTTCAATCCTCTCTTTTTTAAGGCACAAATAACATAATTTGGTTGAAATTGATTAAAGGCAATAAATATGCAAAAAAAAAAAAACCTAATGAAAGAGGGTAACTGAGAGAATGAGCAAATGGGAACACGGAGTAACCAATGTAGTGAGACTAAAGACAAAAATCAGAAGTGGAACAAAAGATTTATTCTTTAAAAGCATTATCTATATTTATAGGGATGAATGGGGTAGGAAAGAAATATTTTTGTATTGAAATCACTATATGCAATGTCCACCTCATGCAAATGTGACAAGTGGCCTTGTTACTAGAGTGATTAGCTACTGATTTATCATTATCATTTTTATTATATTATTTAAAGATATGAAAGACATTTTATATTCATAAAATTATTTTTTTGTTTTATTTTTTTCCTTATTTTATTCTACCTTGGGTAACAATCGGATCCTATGTTTTATTGATAAAGATGGGCTGTCGGAATAGGGTTGTGAAATGGCATCCCATGTAAAAGAATAAACAAAAGGGAAAGGTGAAAGGTGAAAGTTTAGGAAAAGCTAAAAGGGATACTTACATGCAACTTTAATGATTAATCGGATATAATTATTTTCCATTAATTAATATCAAATTTATTTTATTAAAATTATATGGACTTATATTTATTTTTAAATCAACCTAAATTTTTGGGTAAAGTTTACATATACATATATATAAATATATATTCCTCCTATGAAACCCAAAAAAAAAAAAAAACTCAATTGTTAGCTAAAACTTTCTCATGTGATCACTAATGTTCACTAATTGATCACTAATGAATGTATTAATAAGGTAGATATCTATTTCCTAAAATATTCCAAGTTTTTTTTTTCAAATAAATATTATTTGATCACTAATTGATCCCTAATGAATGTATTAATATACAAATAAGTTTTTTGAGAAATCCCCGAAAAAGTACTACTTAAATTTCAAAATCCCAAATCAGAAATTGTTACAAAATGTGTTGTTATTTGCTTTTCAACTATAGTCAATTGTTATTAAAGTATATATGTTGTCATTTGCTTTTCAATTTTTTTATGACAATTATTATGAAACAGAAATTAAAGAACTAACCAAGGTGCCATCTTCCATGGTTTCACGACGCTCATACACAATGAATTCTCTATTGCGAAAGAGAGGCTTTGAGTTATCTCCAAATCTCAAACGGATTATGCTCAGATTGTCTTCCAGGTCTTTTATGTATCTTGCTTCTACCAGATCTGAGTCCCATTGCTGCATTTTCCAATCACAAAATTTTCACAATCTCAATAAATAAAAAAGGGAAAAAGAAAAAAAAATAATTGGAAAAATTCGTCTTTTCACTATTAAAAAAATGCTTTTAACATCACCAATCCACGTCGTTCATTAAAAAAACGGTGTCATTTTTATAAATAAATTACAATATAATATTATTTTGTATGGTGGTTAGTAAAAATTATAATTTTTTATGGTGGTTATGAAAACGATGTAGTTCTTAAATTTTAATTTAATACCATTTAATTTTTATAATTTTGATTGGATTATAGCTCAGTTCTTAAATTTTGATTCAGTATAACTCAATCATATATTATAACCATTTAAAACATTAATGATCATATTTTAAAAAATAAAAGTACATATTTCATGAAACTTGTGGATTAAAATTTTAAATAGTTAAAACTATGAGGATTAAATTGTAATGAGAAAAAAATTTAAGAATTGAGTTTCAATTAAATCAAAATTATAGGGATTAAATTGTTCTGAATCAAAATTAAGAATCAAAATTAAAGGACTGAATTATAATCAGATCAAAATTATATGGATCAAATGATTAGTTTTTCTAAAATAATAATAATATTTTCTATATCACAATGGGACAAGAAGCATTTTAACTGTTTATAACAAGAAACGGCACCGTATGGATATTAACATGGCCACGGACAAAAGCTTTCTTTTCAATTCGCTGGCTCGGAATCTAATCCACTTTTGGAGTTTCCTATTTATTCTTTTTCACTTCTTTTTCTGTCAATTCGGCTTCTTTTGAATATTGAAAATTATTAATTTTTTTTTCGTGTTATCATCATCACCATCATATTTTCAATTTTTTTACAAAAAATATTTTCAATGTTGATTTCTAAAATTAATACTATATTAATTTTTTTTGGTTAGTAGATAATTTCAGTTGAATGCTTGTGAGGCCTTATATTATTTCTTCTATTCATGTAGTACAGAATATTGAATGTTAATATAGTTTCTTCTGATGGAATTGCAGGCTCATCTACTTTACATGAAATTTGAAGCTAGTTAAATTTTTTATCTATAATTATTATGCAATATATTTACTTTTGGTAAAGTAATTATTTATTCTTTACATAATGATAATATAAGTTCATACTTCATGAGAATATATAGGTTTGATATGTGGTGGCACGCAAAATTGGATTTGTTTGTCCATTTCTGTAAATGATATGTTACTTCTTGGTAGGGAAATTGTACAGGAACACCATTTTAGTTCCCTTTTTTTTTCCCCCAACCAAATTTTAAACATAGTTTTATGATGCATATGCTAATATATATATATATATATATATCCTGTTTAAATAAGAAGATATATACACCCACACCAAATACAATAATCTGTATATAGTAAAATCTATAATAAATTATATCAACAGATTCTTTTATCCCTATTTCATATAATACATAAAAATATATTTAATAAAAAAATAATTAAAAATTGTTACTACATCCAACCCTTAATATAAGACCAAATTAATTAATTTAAAAAAAAATTAAGAAAACCAAAAAGTACTTAGTTATAATATATGTTAAATATTTCGCTAAAATACTGACATGTATCATTATATTATATATCAGTTTAATTTATAAACTAGACATATTATTTTTTAAAAAATGATAAATATAATATCTTAAAGTAATTTATTTAACTTCCTTAATTTTTCCAAATTAATAACCAAGTTTTATATTAAAGACCAAAGAAAATATATAAGACATAACAAGTTGTTATAATGTATGATGCCTAATTTTGTCTAGAGTATAATATACTCTGGTGGTCTTCTAAATTTATATTAAGATTCAATTTATTTCTTTAAATTTGTAATATGTATTTTCAATCTCTTAATTTTAATACTGTCTCATCATTAAGCAAATCTAAATAGGGTGACTCTGCGATATTTAAAAACAAGGTTTTTAGCATTATGACCATATAAAAAATATTAAAAGACACATAGGTTATGAGGTTACTCATCTCATCTGGAAATTTAAGGTAAAAGGTGAGGTGTGTGGGTAAAGAATAAAGATGTAGGGTTGAGAAATCAATATAAGGACTGACCTTAGCAGCATCAATGGCGTTAGCGACCGTGATGAATTGCTGAGGTGAGAGAGATCGGAGGAGCCACCGGCTGCGGAAGGTATGAAGGGACCCCGACCGCCGCTTCGATATCTCTACGCCGTTCTCAACTCCCTGAACCTTCCACCCGTCGCCGCCGCCTCCAATTCCTCTGTCGGAATCCGACGCAGAAGCCGACAACAGCTCTTGTATGCAGCTCTCACTGGCAAAATGCACGTACCTCCTCAACGAATCCTCACTTATCGACCTTCATCATCATCATCATAAATTAAATTATTAATTCATTAATATTCCCAATAATTCCCCCATAAAAGAATATGGGAGAACTGGATCATCAATAATCCGTACACGAACAACAAGGATAAAAACATAACACACACACGAGCACACGCACATATATAACATTTTCAACATATCACCATCTTCATCTTCTCATATTCTAGGTTTAACAGTTAAGCAGCAGAAATATAGTATATATCACCCATGCGCACTCAAACACACACACACACACAAACATATAATTTCTTGATGTTGAACTTGAAACTTCTCATGTATGTATCTTTTAAAGTAAGTGAAACTCAAACAGCCAACACTAGCCAGCTAGCTAGTACTGGTTCAAGACAAGTTCAAGAGAATAGAGAGAGAGAGAGAGTAATTAGTAACAAGAAAATGAAGAACAGGAACAAGGTGAGAGAGAGAGTAGTAGAGAGAGAAATGAAGGCAATTCAATATTGGAAGCCGAATTTGAACTGAGGAAGGTAGGTTTACCAGGATCTGCTGCAAGGAGGAGCAGGGCTCCCTGTGGCGCTCATATTTTCTTGTTAAGAGGTTTTACAAGAAGAAACTGTGTTTGGGGTTTAATTTCTCAGAGAGAGACAGAGGAAGAGGGAGGGGTTTATATATATATATATATATATATAAAAGAAGGAGAAGAGTAAGTAAGAGAGGGAATTAAAAGGAAGTGGGGGGCTGGTGATTGATGCACATGGAATGCCAGAAGAAGCTTGAATGATTAGAGCAAACAACAAGCCACCACCCAATAGATAAGAGAAAGAAAGAGAGAAATATGAGAGAGAGAGAGAGATTCTCTTTCTTCCCCAAAAAAGGAGCAGAAGAAATGGCAGCAAATATGAAGCACATGGACTGTTGGGTGGCGTTTGACAAGCCCATGAAAATTAATTATTTAAAAATAAATATTCAGTGGATCAACAGATAGAGAAAGAGAGAGAGATATATATATATATATATATATATATTAAGAATATATATTTATTAGCACAGACTCCATCATCCTAAGTTTCTATTACTATGTATATACAAAGGACGTACGACTCAGGGAAGATTTTTCCCTTATTACGTGCCAAAGAGGGAAAAACTATACTTGAAAATTATAATTATAAATAATAAATTTTAAATTTGTAAATTAATTTTTTCACAATTTTGTAGTAACATTTAAGGGGTTTGAGTTGACTAAATGGATTCAACGAGGAGAGAATTAGAGTAACCAGTGTTAATCAGGTTTGAATCTACGTTGTTATTAGAAGGCATTGTATTTCTTTTACTTGATTCAACAATTATCATCCCTCTCTACGATTGAATCGGGGTCAGACCCATATGATTCAAATTATATAATTTAATTGAAATATAGAAAGATATTCACACATAATCCTGGAAAGAGTAAATATTTAAATAAAACAATTAATCTTCAAATAATTGAAACATTTATATCAACTAACAGGATTGGATCTAGTTGAAGAGGCTAATCTCTCACAATGTGATGAACCAATATTTGAATCTTCACTTGAAAAGGCACTTATATTTAGTATTTAATAATGTCTCAAACAGAATTACTTCTAATAAGAGTGTCTAACAAGAAAAAATAAAATTTATATGTAAACCGGACATAATTCAACAAAACAGAGTTACCAAAACATAAAGATGACAATTATTTTTTAACTCAAAATAACGTTGTTTCAGGTTTGGAAAGAAAAGAAAAATATAAAATACTAAGAAATTAGTCTATCGGCTCACTAATATGTCGGCCTTCCGGGTTGAATTTTAGTAGTACGATGAAATTTTTTTATAAAGTCCTTTAAAACATTACTATTCTTTTGTTTTCTCCTAGTTAAGAACATCTTTTCAATAACTTTTTTTTTCCCCTTTTGTAATTTTCAAGTTGAGTTTACTATAATTTCTTTTACTTTATTTAATAATATCCACCTCTAGTGGCTCATAGGTAAAGAAGAGAATGTATTTGAATGGAAATCAAACCATTATTTTAAAAGTAATTTTATGATATGTAAAGCAAGTATATAAAAAAAAATTTTATTTCAACTTATATGAAAATATTTTTTTTAAGTATTTTTACTTAATGCCAAACACCCCTAAAAAAAGAGAGAGGAAGATGAATGTAACCAAAATCTTGCTTTCCAAGTCAGGGCCCAGTCACGTGCCATGAAAGAGTTGGATTCTCATCTCAAAGAGCAAAGCTGTAAGAATTGGTCCCAATTTACGTTGTCCTTTCCCTCACTTGCCCTAATGTTAGGTGCTAAACCAAACCAACCAACTCCTTTCTTTCTTTGTTTCTTCTTTTTTTTAATATAAACTATTTTTAAAAAGTTATATTAACCTCTAACTATTAGTCAAATTTGAGTTTTGAGGGCCTGGTTTAGAACAATTTTCTCATTCTATGATATTTTTGTATTTATTATAATTGAACCCTTAACCATGATATTAAAATTCAACTCAATCAGCCGATCGATAAATTAATCTTTTATCAATTTGGTTAAGAGTTTTAAACAAATCGACAAGATTGAATTTTATGTATATATATATATATATATATATTTCCCCTTATTAAGTATGACGTGATATTATTTTGAGTTAAAGAAATAATAGTTTGTGAATTGTGATACACGTATTTTAATAACTCTATTTTATTATATTATGCATTGTTTATGCATAAATGTTCCACTTTTTGTGGATTAATTATTTAGAATTATATATGAATATTTTTACAAATTTTAATTAAATTATATTAATTTAATTATGATTGGATTGACCACGGTTCAATCATGGTTAAACCATTGGCCTTTGAAATTGATCCAATTTGAAGGTTCAAATAAATAATAATAATTTTGCTCATGAGCTATAATTTTTTTGCGTAAGTTGATTTTTTTGAATTTTAGAAATATTTAATATTATAATTTTAAACAATTTCAAATAATTAAATGTGGGTTATAAATTTTTTTTTTTAACCAATTTTAGTTTTATATCATTTCTGAGATGTGACCACACTTCTGTTGAATCCCACATGTTCGTGTGGTGCGTAGCAGTTGAAGAGGAAATGGTCATCCCATTTCCCTTATTCTTAGATCATATTATTATGAAAGTGACGTGAACGTTCCTCCACTTCATTCAAACGAATCACTTCTTCTTTTCTTTTTTTTTTAAAAAGAAGGATAACCTTTTTTTTTATAACTTTTTTGGTCAAGATACTTAAAATCGATTTATTAAAAAGGAAGGATAAATTTTTTAAACTTTTTTTTTAATCGAGATACTGAAAATTGATCCGGAGTTAAACTAATTGTGAGATTGTGATTTAAGGATTAATACTTTTACTGTGGTTGAAGAGAGATGAACTTAATCATAACTAATATAATATAATTTGATTAAAATATGCCAAAATATTCATATGTATAAGTTGAAAAGAATAATATTCAATAAAAAGGAAGGATAAATTTTTTAAACTTTTTTTTAATCGAGATACTGAAAATTGATCCGGAGTTAAACTAATTGTGAGATTGTGATTTAAGGATTAATACTTTTACTGTGGTTGAAGAGAGATGAACTTAATCATAACTAATATAATATAATTTGATTAAAATATGCCAAAATATTCATATGTATAAGTTGAAAGGAATAATATTCAATAAAAAGGAAGGATAAATTTTTTAAACTTTTTTTTTAATCGAGATACTGAAAATTGATCCGGAGTTAAACTAATTGTGAGATTGTGATTTAAGGATTAATACTTTTACTGTGGTTGAAGAGAGATGAACTTAATCATAACTAATATAATATAATTTGATTAAAATATGCCAAAATATTCATATGTATAAGTTGAAAAGAATAATATTCAATAAAAAAAGACACTAATCCACAAATGGATAGAACATTATGTATAAATCACATACTACCTCTGAGTTCTTAATATAAAATTATTGTGTAATTTGCATTACAAATTAGATATTATATTAAAGATTGGAACTTGGAAGTAGTATAATTCAAGAGTTACAAATATGATGAGTTGTTTTTTCTTCTTTTTTTTTTAACTCAAAATGATGTTATTTCTTGCTTACTTAAATGGAAAAAATATATATAAAATCTAACCTTTTCAAAGTGTTTTACTAGCACCATGAACAGACTAGTTCACTAGTTCACTAGTCTAATCTACCAACTTAGGTAGAATTTTAATACTATAGTTTTTAACAGCAACAAAAGTAAAATAGCTAAATTTTTCAAATAATAAAGTATACTTGTAGTTTAATTCCACAAGTTTTTAAAGTGTATCTTTAGTCCTTGAATTATATATGATTTATATATGAATATTCTAAATTATAATTATTTGATTATTTGATAATATCAAAATCAAATAATTATGTTAAAAAAAAAACCCTTTACCAGTTCCAATTGGACTTATAATTATTTCACATTATTTTTCTAGTAAGCATTTGATTTATTTCTATTGCAACTTGTTATAGGAAAATAATTGAATGTGCAAGCTTATAGGAAAGAGTAATTTTGAGACCACCCAAGAAAAAAAGATAAGATTCGCATAAACCTTGAAGATACTCATTTAATAAAAAGAAAGGGGAAAAAATCAGAGTGATAAGGAGAAGATTTTCTTCTGCGGCCTTCCCATCCTCTCCCTTTTTTCTTATCATTATATCAACATTTCAATGATTAAGATTAAATCTTTATAAATTATTATTAAAACATTTCTTTATAGGAAAAAAAAACTACTTTGCAATTACTCATACTCTTTTTTTTAAAATTTTTAATTTAATATCTGTAGGCTTTTTCTCATGATTAAATCCTTTAATTTTGCTTGATTAGTACCGTTATATAGATACCAAATTAAAAAATAAAAAAACATAGATATATGCAAAATGGTTTTCTTTGAAAAAAAAAGAATAAACATCCAAATACAAATTGCTAACTTTTTTTGTGTGAATAGTTTCAAATTATAATAAAAATACAAAGACATTTTGTAAAAAAAAAAATCAAATTTAAACTATTCTAATGTTAATGTTGTGGTTGGAAAAAGAGGAGGAGAAAGAGGAAAATGGTGGGAAGGAGAGAAGAGAGAATCTTTCCTAAAGACAAGGGTCATTGGGAGACCCATGACAAGTATCACAATGTTGAAAGTGGCATACAGATATGTAGAATAATGAAAATGAATGCTACTTTCAAAAAGGATGTATAATGAAAGCAGGTGATTTTATTTCCTAGGTAAGCATGGTATAATTACATTCATCAATCATAATTACTTCCACCATTTCAACAAAAAAAATTAAATAAATACAATAATGATGCTCAGATTATAAAGTAAATTATATACACAAATATTTGAGATTGATTTGCCTTCCCTTTTGATTGAAATAATGAAAAATGATAGATACGAATCCTCAGGAGTAATAATACCATACAATGACCTTGAAATTTACAAGGCCAAAAGTTAATCATATGTGCTTTTCAAAGTTGTCACCGATTCTTTGCAATATTCGAATAACATTGAAAAAGTTAAAATGGTACTCAACTTAGACTATTAATTTACATAGAGTAAAAATTAATTTACTTATTTATTTGGAAAAAAAAAAGTGTATTTGATCTTCTTAAAATGCCTCCTTTAGTTATTTACATTGAAACTTACTCCCTTAACAATTTTTTCAATATGCAGTATTAACAAAGAGTGTAAACAAAATTATAAATTTCTTTTTTAAAAAATAAATTGAAATTTTACGTTTGAAATAAAAACAAATTCATTAAGAAGTTCTTATATTTAAGTCCGAACGAAGTAACGAAA